CGCTGGCTACCCGGCTGAGCTCACCGAGGTCATCCTCAACCCGGGCCACGCCACCGCCTACCGTGTCGACCCCATCGTCTAAGCCAGCCGGCGCCGGACAGTCAGCCAGCTGCGGCCACGGCCGGCCAACAGCGGTCGGGCGTTCATGTCGCTAGTCACCGAGTACCCGTGTCTTCGTGTCGCAAGTGTCGCACGCGCGCAGAGGGCGCAAGTGTGGCGGCGGCTCGCGCAGCGCTGGCGTTTGTGTGAGCGCCGGCGCTGCACCAGCGCGCCAGCTGCCAGCAGTGTGTCTCTCTGTCACGCACCGAGCGACAGTGCCGCCTGCACTGGGTACGAAACGCCGCACCAGCTCACAGACCGGCCTAACTGGTCCATGACTACCTTTTTGTGCTCAATCCCAGGATTGACACGTGATTCTTACTGGGCTCATCGTCTTCAATACATATTTTCGTATAGAAGTTAATTTCTGAGCATACTGAGACAACACACTGGTAAGCCACACAAGCTTGACATGAAACATAAAGCACTGTAGGATACGAAACAAAAATATATTTACACGGGGGGGGGGGGGGGGGGGAGGGGATGAACGGCACCATTTCGTAGCGTTCCGTGTTTCACCCGGCCCAGAAATCACATGCAACGGCTATGCCGCCTAGAGGCTAGCTGCAATGTTCTTAACATCATACCTCGCTCAAAAGAGGCGAGCCACCTTGTTCTTTGCAAGACTGCCGGCCATGCTTTATAAGTGGCAGCATCTCAAGCGCAAGTAGAAAGGACGCTGCCAATAACTACGACTCCACGAGAGCTGCACAGGAGCTGAAAGACAATACCGGTATCGTCGTAAGGAGGACGGATAGGTCCAGAGTGCTTGTCGTAGATTACCACAAGGAGCACCATCACAAAACGCGGGCCATTCTGGCAGATCAAAGCCCGAGGGGATCACCAGCAGCTCGGTGGAAGAGCTCAACCCCACACCGGGTGCTGTAATTCGTCGGGCGAGGAGAAGCAGACCCCCCCCCCGCCCCCATCCCCAATCATCACGGGATGAGTTGTTCGATCGGACAAGCTCAATGACGACTATTGTCCAGGAATTGTCGAGTCGATACCTGCCCAGTGACCAATGATGACACATGCTGTGACAAAGCCTCATCAATCGTTAAGTGTTCGCACGGCCTCAGGGCCCTCAAGCGCGCGGCCCGAAACCGGCAAGAAAGGAAAGCGTGCGCTCTTTGCACTCTATGGTCAGGTGATGATGTCATCATAGGCCGAGGGTCAAGATCAGGTCATGTCAAGATCCGGCCGAGCTCAAGTTACCTCGATGTTATGACCTTTCTACTCTTCCAGGTTGGATGACACACATAAACCATTCGTTTTAAAACGTGTCGTTACAACGATTTATCTGAGCACATATTTGTATTTCGATAAACAGACATATTTTTCCACCTTTTTGGGCCCACACATGAGCGCATCTAGCACAACCTGTGATGGCGATCGGGGTGTTATTCTGATAACGCAGCTGACTGCCTGGCAGTACCCAATACACACATTCTAAATGGATGTGATTGGCAATACCAGCACCCGAAATACGCTACAAGCATATGCACACGGCCTTTTCCAAGTCGCCCTTGACATCCGGACGGCTGCTTGCGATGCCGGTGTTTGTGATACAGCCAGAATACCACTATCATATAAGATTGCCAGAGGCACTGAGGGATCTGATGTCGCTTATGCCGTCTTATTAAAAAAATCTGCGAGGGATACGCGCGGGTCCACTACCCAGCCCATAACATCACAAAGCGCGCCCAATAAGCGCTTCATCGGCAAAAAGTTGAGCCCGGTGCACCTTATACCATCTAAAAAAGTGGCGCCCACGCAACAAGGATTACGACGTATCCCCGTCCATATCCGCCTACCGCTGTGGCAGCTCAGCCAGGGAGTGGGGTGGGAGAGGGGATGGGATGGGGGGGGGGGGGGGGGCGGTGAGACCGCGGGCGGAGCGGCCGCGGCGGCAGAAGGCGGGCGGATGACCCTGCCCGAGGGACGGGAGCGGCGCCAGAGGACCACGCCCTGTCTCCGGCCGCGCCGCCTCCCCTCCCATGGCCGCGGCCCGCGCTGGCACGCGCCTGTTCAGACAGCAGCCGTGCGTCCGCAGGACGTGCCCGGCACGCGGAAAGACAAGGGGATTCCTTTCCTGGCCACGTCAGCTACTGTTGAAACAGATTGCAGCGGTCCAAAAACGGTAGAAATGAAGCTTTACACCAAAGAGTTTTGGCCTCCGACAATGACCATGTACAGACCGCACATGCTGCAGGTATAGGACGTCTTTGCATGTTCTGCTTTACTTGATGTCCGCTTTGTCAAGAACGTTATTTATACCTCAGCGTACAAAGTCTGCAAACTGTCGGCCGTGGAGGTAGTATGCCACAGTTGTGTACCTTTCAGTCAAATGGGGTGCGTCCAATTTGGTCGGCGTTGTCGATTTCCCCGAAATCCTGAATGGTTATGTACTTAGATTTCAGGTAAACGCACCGGAGGCAAGAATGCCAGTGGACTCCCTGATCACCACTCTGAAAGTATTGCTTCTTCTTTGCTTTGCTTTACTTTGCTTTACTTTGCTTTGCTTTGTGTGTTATTTCATGTTTGTAATACACTTATCGTCCAAATTCTTGGGCCATAAATGTCATAACGGTTTGAAACACTCCATTTAGGAAAAACGGCATACACATATGGGGGGGGGGGGGGGATTATCGCGCAAGCTCAGCTTAACTTCATACTGCGCTCTTATTTTCCCCCATGACGTTAAGCAAAATGACTTCAAAGTGCACTCTGGCTTTGAAAGGACATTGTCCAAGTGGACGCTCAGTTCAGTGCAAAGCTGTTTGCAAACAAAGTATAAACCAGCGACATATCGTGTGGTAACGCACATACTCAATCTTCCACCAATGCACTGCTCGCTAAGTGCGCCAGGGGCCATATTGTTGGTGGTCGTGGGCTGCGGGCAGCTTTTCTCTTTACCATGAAAGCTTTCAAATCAATTTCGAACGAGATCGACTGAAATCTCGCGAGCAGTCGCAGTCTCCGATGAATATCTCACTTGAATGTGTTGAATGCGCCGAGATCGTTCAACCCAGAAATGAAATCTGGGGCTACGGAAAGAGAATCCGATGCTGTGTCGAAAGAATTTAACACTGCATATGCTTTTTGTGCCTTGGTGGTACTGCAGTCATACTCACCTGTACTACTTGTGAGCTTCACGGGCCATGATGTTTCACCAGAGCATGTTTTTGAAATATGCTCCAAAAGGACACTCCCCTTGACGTGGCCTCTATGGGAAGCACGTGATAGAGGTGCTTTCACCAAAGCAGCGGTTTGGTCCATGGCTTTACCTACAGCAGAAGACAAAGCGCAAAGGTGGCAGCAATTCAGCTGCTAGATAGTTGCTGGTGTTGAAAATTTCATGGTCATTCTACGAGAAACAAAAGGAGGAGCTTTTTGGCACAACCAATCACGTTTATGCTGATGTAATCAAAGATAATCTTGCATGCTGACTCAGCACGATCATCACCGCACATACAGCGTAACCCGTTGTGGTTTATGATATACAAAGCCCAACTTATGTTTTACAGGGCCATGAGCGGCCCTTCTATGTAACAGAAGGGCGACTACTGCACATACCAAGTTCCAGCTGCTTATAAACTCAATCAACTCGTTACACCCAACAAACGGGCGCTCGCCAGAATTCCTAACTCGATTTTCTAGAGAAGTGCGCCATGCTTGGTTGTCCAGCCGAAGAGGGAAGCGAGAGAAAACGCAGGAGGTTGGATCTTGAGCTTCACCACACACGTTGACGAGAAACTCCTTGGAAAAATTAAGCTTGGTGAAACAATCAAAGCTGAATACCAGCATGGCGTCAGTCAACCACAGTCATTGGAGCATGCCTTCGTGTGCTCTGCACAAATAAGGCACGCTGCGAAAGCTCGCATTCCGCCTCACAATCTAGCTCCTAGCAGCGTGCTAAACAGAAGTGGTAGATATGATAAATGTGGACTGCGACCAGAGAGGTGAAATCATCTATGTTAGAGGAACAAACCCCAATAACCAAACCCTAAGGATTCATCGCCGCCCGGTTTCCAGCGTTGAGCTTGTACCGAAAGGGCTGGGTCAACCGAACATGATTTCCTAAAGCAAACAATAAAAAAATGTGGCAGATTCTTATCAACAAGGTATGTTGTGTTCTGTTAGTCATCATCCTTCACACTGCGACCTTAGCCTTACAGCCGCGGGCTGTCAGCTCTACAGGCGGGCTCAAAAGCGGCAAAAATCCCGCGGTTATGCATCTGCTAGGCTGAACAACCGCTTTTCGCGTCACGATTTCACCGTTTTAGCCTCACTCGGATAACAAGTGGGAAATTTTCTTTGGCAGGCAAAACCTCTCGCATGTCCACGCAGCGGACAGATGCGGCCGCAGGCTGCCGGCCGGCCAGAATTTGGCCGGGAGGGGGGGGGGGGGGGGGAGGGGCGCGGCCACCAGTGGCCACTGACCTCTGCAGCTGCTGTGTACCCTCTGCGCATTCCAGCACATGCTAGTGTAATACATCCGCAATAAGTGCTGGCTTCGAGCTCACACAGTTCATCCACAGGCCGACGGCGCCTGGCAGGCTACTGATGACGTCACAAGTGAGCGGCAGACAGTTTAAGAGGCCGGCTGACAGCATGCTGAAGGACAGCTGCCACGAACTCAGATTATCAGCTCACGAAGCCGTCTGATCTTCCGCTGTTTCTGGTCGTGGTTATTTTCTGAAAAGACTTGAGCTCGCACTTCCCGTCCAGTCCACCTGCTTCCATGCACCAAGAGCAGCAGCTCTCATATCAAACGCCCACAACTGCACGCACCGAAGCAAGCGAGGGCTCGCTGTGATACGGGGCATCACTTCTCTGACTTCCTCCTCCACCTCCACCTGCGCCTAGGCCGACCACTGACCGGCACCCTGCGTACTCACCCTTGCGGTTCTCGCCGGTGCCCTTCAGGCCGGCTCCTCCCGCCTTGGCCTGGATGATGCCGCCCATAGTCTCGGCGCCCTCCTTCACACGCGCCAGCAGGCCTGCGGCACACGCCGGTCCGTCAACCCGGCCGTCCGCGCCCCGCGTCGCGTCCGTCCTCCGGCACACAGGCCAACGGGCCCTGAGAGTCCTGCGGCGCAGCACAGACCGCCACCTTGGCTCTACGTGCGCTGTCGGTACTGTGGCTTTAAGCCGCTGCAGCCGTCTGTGTTTGGGGTCAAGCCTGCCACGCATACTTCACTGCGGTGGTCCGCACAATGCCTCGGCGGTACGCGTGTCACTAGGGCTGCCTGTACCCGGTACCAGTCCCACTACGGTGGTCTGTACCCCGTCTCGGTTCTGCGGTACTCACGTCGCTAGGGCCGCCTGTACCCGTTACCAGTCCCACTACGGTGGTCCGTGCTCTGTCTCGGTCCTGCGGTACACGCGTTGCTAGGGCCGCCTGCACCCGGTACCAGTCCCGCCACAGTGGTCTGTACCCGTCTCAGTTCTGTGGTACACGCGTCACTAGGGCCGCCTCTATCCAGTACCAGTCCCGCCACAGTGGTCTGTACCCCGTCTCGGCTCTGAGGTACTCACGTCGCTAGGGCCGCCTGTACCCGGTACCAGTCACACTTCAGTGGTCCGTACTCTGTCTAGGTCCTGCGGCACACGCGTCGCTAGGGCCGCCTGTACCCGGTACCCGTCACACTTCAGTGGTCCGTACTCTGTCTCGGTTCTGCGGCACACGCGTCGCTACGGCCGCCCCTACCCGGTACCAGTCCGTACTCTGTCTAGGTCCTGCGGTACACGCGTCGCTAGGGCCGCCTGTACCAGTTACCAGTCCCGCCGCCGTGGTCTGTGCACTGCCAGTCCTGCGCCACACATGTCACCACCCGGGCCTCCGCGCCATATGCCGTCAGAACTGAGGCACGCACGCCACTACAGTCGACCGTGATCCTACTGTACCTCTGTAACTGCCGGTCCCGTGGCATAATCGTCTCCACAGCCGGTCGGCAGATCAGGGATCATGCATCGCAACGGGCGACGACACACATGTGGAAACATGTGTAGAATCTTATTTCGGAGGCAGGCTGCTTCACTAAGGATACTTATCGCAAGCTTATGTAACCCGGGCGTTGATTTCACAGGCTACATACAAACCTTCTTTTGCGATTTCTGATGAATGAATAGAACGGCAAAGTGCCGCAGAGAAAATGGGGAACACAGGGAGCGTATGACATCCTGCACATGGTTACGAAACTACGAATGAATCTGATATAATTGGCTTTCTCTCATGAAAAAAATGCGAACTGTTAAGGAAGTTTTTTAAAAGATTAAGTACGAGTTATTTGATTGGATGAATCTGGGAGATCAGCGCTCATACTAAACACGAAGGCTTTGAGTACTGCAATGCTCGGCACAGACCGTCCTGTCCTCTGACGTCAGCTGACCTTTAGCACGGCCGCTGCCACCGGCGGCAGGCCACCCCTGTCAGGGGCAAACGGCGAGCGTCTGGAGCGATTCGAACTCACTCTGCCACGGGTGGGTGAATCGGAGACGGTCTCACCAACCAGCTGGGCCTCCCCAGCAACGCTTCACTTGCCTCCCCAACGTAAATATGTACAACAGGTCTGCTGGACACATCACAATTGCAGAACCGGCCGAAACTTAAGATGCATGATGGGTGGGATATGCTGCCCAAAGTTGGCGCATGAAACACCTCTAAAATATCTTCGAAACAAAGCATAACCACGTAAACATGTAAGCAAACTCAACAGCACGTCACAGCCGTTGTCTCTCACTGTAAAGATACATACATCCACGCAGAAAACGCTACTAAGAGCAGTACTTAAATTTTCCCGTCTTCGCAACGGATTGTCACGTAAAATATGTTGCTGTCATGCCCCATTGCTGCTTTAACTGTTTTAGAATATCATAAAATCTTTCAAGAGCAGACTGTGTCATTACAAGAAATTTGCTACCGGTTCCTTCGGACAGTTCTGTCACAAGGTATTAAAAAGTATGTTACGCTTTCTGCGGAAATTTGTTTACAGCTGATATATTTTGTTCTTTAGTAGTTTCTTAAGTGAACACCGTTTTGCTTCCAGCTGAAAAAACACCCAAATGAACTTAGTGTCCGAATGAGATACTTTATGCGTTTCCCTGGCTCAATCAGTTGCAGCGACTGTCTCTCAATCTATCCTTGGGGCGGGGGAGGGGGAGGGGGCCCCAGTCGCTTCGGCGGGCGCTATTTGCTCTTGGGTGGGATGGCCTGCGGCCGGTGCAGCGGCCGCTCAAGGTCAGGTGAGGCCCGAGGGCGGGGCGGACCGTGCCCAGCATCGCGGCACGCCAAACTTCCGTCGCCAAATTCTGCCACTGAGCCCTGACTTCGCGATCGAGGATCAGGTAAGGACTCACGGAACAAGTCCTGTTTAGTGTAGACTCCGATCCAGAAATCCATCCAAACAAAATGTTGGGAGTAAGTCAATGAAAAACAAATACATTAGTGATTGTGCAATTTGCATTCAAACGTCTGCAAAATTATTGCAACAACTTCATGCAAAATCTCTTCGTGGAGGAAAAGTCATGTCCCTGCTGTCCAATCCATGCACAGATAACGCTTTCATACTAATTTAGAAGATGTGGCATGCAATTAGCCAAACAAAAACAAAACGTCCGCATGACAACACTATACGTCAGTGAGCGCCATCACCGGGTGCAAGCGTATGACCTCGTGTTCACTTTACACATCACAGGCCTACGAAAGCTACCACATTCTCCCGGTCCACATGGCTGACTACGCTTGCCATCGTGCGTCGTGATATGACCACGCCACAGATCGAAACAAAACCGGCTAACCCATCTCCCTCCCGCGAGGGGGCTCCCCATCTCCGACCCCGGCCGGCCCTGAGCCTGCGGCCGGCTGCGATCGGCCGCGCCGCCGCCGCCACTGACCGACTGCGTCCGGGTTCTCCTCCATCTCGCGGTGAATGCGCTCCTCGAGCCGGCAGCGCACGCCCTGCGCCCGCGTGCGCAGCCGCTTCAGGTCCTCTGTGCAAGTGCCCGCCAGCCAGAGCCAGGCGTGTGCAGAGAGGGATAGACGCCACAGAGAGTGAGAGGCGGAGAGAGACAGAGACAGAGCGACAGCGAGTGGAGAGAGCGAGAGAGAGCCGGCTCACCTCACCCGGTACAAGCGCCGTGGATTACCAGAGTGGCAGGGTGGGAACACGATGAAGGAGGTGGGAAAGGAATGTGGCAACTTGGGCGCATCACGCTTGATGAGTCACAACAGCTCAGGACGTCTTTAAAGAGATCCGCCCTCCGACGCAGCACCTCTGTGGCACAGCCGTACAAAGTGGTAGCATCTGCTCCTAATTTCTCTATTCGCGAATCGGCACCGAGTGGAGCATCGGCTTTTCGCCGACCTGGTCCTGCTGCGGACTCCGACAGGGGTCCGGAGGAAGCCTGCTTTGCAGCCTCCATCGGCTCAATTCGCTCAGGCCCGGCACATGGCAGCGCGTTGTGGTCGTTATGGTTGTTATGGTCGTTTCGTCAAGACCATCCTCTACAACTACAGTGCCTTGGCAGAATCTGACCTCCGCACAGCAAAATGGAAATCTCGCAGATTATGTGATTATGGCAAACACTAGAATTAGGTCTGTGTTCCTAGCCAGAACAAAAGCATTCCAGACGCGCTGGGCGAACTGCACGCCAATGCCTCGTTTCGTATTAAGAGAAACATGCGCGTATGGCTGAGTCAGACAGATTTATGGCTGACACACATGATCTCTTCGCACCTGAATTCAGTGGTCCGAAGCAGCGACAAATATAAAAACAATAGCTGTATAGCGCACGCGTCCCTCCCCTACTGACTGGACAGCAGGAACAGGGAAGGAGCTGCTGGCCAACCTCAGGACATCTTTCGGACGCGTTAGTGGCACAAAGGGTAGACACACTTAGAACAGCGGCAGAAATGTGCAGCAAAGCCCACCATCCGCGTTTTCACGCAGCCAGCACGTGTAAGAAAGACTGCACGTGCTGATAACTTACCGCTTCCCTCAGCCCTCTCCTTGAGATGATCCCTGATGGCTTCGCTCTGTTCCTTCAGCTCCTTCATCCTCGACAGGTACCCTGGCGTGGCGGCACAGTCACAATCACTGCATATAAACGACAACCAAAGCGGTCTCGGAAGACTAGCAAAAAATAGATTCAACCGGCATTGCAAAACAGGACAGATTGTGCAAAACGCAAACATACCAAATGCTTCAGCCACCATATGCTCGTGCAATTTTATCATTTCCGTAAGCCGATGACCAATGTTAACAATGCTACGCATTTCTAGGCCAGAAATCCTATCGCATTTTAACAGCATATGTCACAGCTTATTAAATGATCATTGTCAATGCTCAACGCTATCTCAAGCGATTCACAAACTGCAGCCAAAACCGTAATGGGTGTTCTTTCACCACCCCCGCACAGACACACCACTAATGCATGCTCTTCGAAAACGTGGTTAACGTATAAAATTAGCTTGCACACACTGCAAAGCGGGCTGTACACTGGGCACAGTAAAATTAAGCTTGTACAAAACGTTGCGGTCATAATGCTCAACAATAGCCTTTACGAAACACATTTGTGAAGCGAGCTGAATATGCATATGCATAAGCGCTATACAGCGTGCAGCAGTCGAAGACTAAATGCCAACGTTTTGTCTACAATACAGGGACCCATAAGACGTATGTACAGAAATCAAACACACATTTAAGCGTGTCCTGAAATACAGGATATGAAACGAAACTTGAGTCATTTGTTTTTGCAGATACGCAGGTAGCTGTACAACATAACATATTCAACGCATTCCCTCTCGTCACGCAGCATACAACAGGCGTGCAAACAAGCATCAATCCTAAGTGTCCACGCAATAACGGCAACGCCTGAACTCAAGAAACCAGGGCGAAACAAAACGACAGCCAACTAGGTAAGCATACTCCTTGTGAGCTCAGCACGCCGGGAAACCCATTAGGCTGCGGAGATTAGCTTCCCATTCATGCACTATGGGACGTGGAGACTGCATCGGCTGGATGCTCGAGGTGGCCAAGCGTCAACATCTTTTTCACTTTGAACCTGACTCTCCTAAATACCTCCAAGTCCAACCATTCTCTTTTTAGTAAAATCGTAGATTTGTATCTATATTTTCAAATTTAGGCAACACTTTTAATATGCCGCTAGTTTTTGCCGCATCGCCACCAGGGCAAAATTACATCAATATACCGCGGGTTGTTTCGACCTTGCAGCCGGCTGCCTGAACGCCCCGTAGTCGGCGGCACTGTCCCACCCCTTCTCCGCCCGCCGCGTCGGCCTGTCAGACCGCGGTCGTGACATGTCGGCGTAACCAGTCGAGCCCGTTGTAAGGGCTTGACCGGTGGCTAGGTCGCGTTCTCACGCGTGACCATACCCGAACGGAGGGCACGCGCCAATAGCGGCGAGGAAGGGGGCTACGCGCGGAGACGAACCTCCCGTCTGTGTACTTCCGGCACACCTATAACGATGAAGATTTGCGTGACTTATATCAACGACAACCTTCCGCTTATTCACGCATCATCGGAAATGAACGGTTTCCACATGCCCTATATGTTCCCATGTAAAGCGGATTTATATTACCCTAGCGTTCCCATCGAACAGATACGAGCAGCATAGGCCGTCGGCGCAGGATGGCCGACCCCGGACCTCCGGCCGGCCAGTCGCTCCAACCGCTGACTGTTGTCCCGCATCTCGTTATCCCACCGCTGGCTGTTGTCCCGCTGTCCCGTCATCGTCCCACCGCTGGCTGTTGTCCCGCATCTCGTTATCCCACCGCTGGCTGTTGTTCCGCTGTCCCACTATTCCCCGGCGGCTGTTGTCCCGCTGTCCCGCTACTCCCCGCCGGCTGTTGTCCCGCTGTCCCGTTATCCCGCCGCTGGATGTTGTTCCACTGCCCCTCCATCCTACCGTCGGCGGCCCGCCCACACGCGCCGACAGCTCGCGCCGCAACCTCGCCCACAGCCGGACCCAACGGTGCAAACCTTCGGTCATCACCCCAGGCTGACATGCCATGCAGGGTAGGTGCTCCAAATACTGCACACACACACACACACACACACACAACGCCAGGCTCGTCTGCGCGCGGCGGCAAGACCTCACCGCGCGTGTCCTTCTCCTTGAGGCGCTTCTCCACGTCACCGGCCTTGTGCTTCACACGGCCGAAAAACTCTGCGCCAGTCAGGCCCCGGCAGTTATGACCACGTCCTCCAATCAGGAAATGTACATTTGGCAGCAGGGTGGACGCCTTGCTTGAACGGTAACCGGAACGGAACGGAGCGGAACTTGAACGCAGATCACACCCACGAGCTCCGCAGTGGGGAAAATAAATCATGCGCCGGGCTGCCATGACTCGGATGGGACCGAGGTCGTCGCACAAGAACACACTGGAATGTTACGGACAGTTGGAGCATCGCGGCCTGGGTGACCCATGAGGGGCAATGCCTGTCTTGAAGGACCAACATCGCTCCATTAGGCATTGTCTCGCTGTGGCCTGTTCACTGGGGCCGCCGGGCGGAACGTCAGACATGCGATGCAGCCCACAATCCCGCAACGCGCTCCGGGCGTTTGCTTCTCCCACCAGGCTCACCACTACTCCACCCTTGATCTGCGAGCCATGATGGGACAGACGAGCAACCAAAAACCCAAAAGGTCAGGGCCGTTGCAACCGGTAAGACCTAGCACGGGTGGTTTACGCACAACCGAATTGATTATTTGAGGTACTGCTGCACGCGCGGACATCCCGCGCACACCAGCCGACCTTGCTTGGCCGGGTGAGCTCAGCACCACTGTGCGCCTGAACCAGCGGCCCAGCACTCGGCGCCCGCGGCCCGCCGGGTCTCATCAGCTCCGTCGGCCTCAGAGCCGCGGCGATGCTTGGGCAAACCTCAAACGCCGCGCCTTGAGCTGACCCCACTGGCTCCGCCACACCTGGCACACCCAGCCGTCCTCGCCGTCCGCGGCGCGGAGCCTGCCTCCTGGGCGGCGGCGGCGACCGCCGGGCGCGCGCCGGCGCTGCCGTACCTGAGATCTTCTGCTGCGCGTCCGGCGACTCGGAGCGGGTCAGCTCCAGCACGCGCTGGTACTCGGTCAGCTGGATGAGGCCGTGCTCCTCCAGCGCCTCGGTCGACATCTGACTGTAGGCCTCCGTGAGCAGGTCCACTGTCGGCCAGTCCGCCCGGTCACCGGCGCCCCGCGCCCCACGGCATGCGCCCAAGCCGAAGCCCCCACCGGCAGCCCGGCCGGCCGCTACACGCCCATCCCCAGACATGTACCGCAGGCAGTCCAACCACAGCCGGGATGTTCGGCGACGCGCCCAGGGAGAGCGGCAAGGCAGCCCCGTATGCAGAGTCGCAAGCAGACGGTGCCGGCGGCGGGCGGCGCCGGCCGCTGGGTCGACGGCAGCCCGCCTCCACACGCGCCCCCCAGGTCACCGGCCGTCCGGCGGCGCTCACCGATCAGCGACTCGACGTCGAAGAAGAGCACGTGCCGGTCGGGGTCGGCGGCGTTGGTGCGCAGGCCCTGCACCATCAGCGCGTACGAGCGCGGCTTGCCGGACTCGTGCTGGCCCGGCAGGCTGTCGGCGTTGTTCTGCAGCTGCTGCAGGCCTCGCTGCGGCCCGACGGCGGCGGCGTCAGCATCGGCAACCGCCGCTCGGGTCCTCCACGACCTCATCAGCGGTAACGGGTCGACAAGTGGGAGTCACCACCACCCCAGCCCGACCTCTGCCCCAGCCGGTTGGGGAGCACGGTGCCTTTCGCGACTCGCGGCTGCTGGTGCCACGCCGCAGGCGCGTCAGCGGGCTGCATGGCGCGGGCTCGCGGTCCACGGCACAAACCCCAAACAGCACGCCATGGATTCGGGTCCGTTTCCGTCCGCTTCCCGAGCTCAGGGAGCCGGGGACCTGGCCAACTGCAGCGTCGGGGAGGAAAGGTCCAAAACGCGCCCGGCTGCCATGGTCCCGGTGTGAGTTGCCTTATCCGGGAGAGGGCACCCCACAGCCAGCTGATGACTGCAGTCTCCTGGTCGAGGAAGTCAACAGTGCTCTGTTCAGCGAAAGCTAACGCCGACGCCAGAGTGGCCAGTTCGCGCACAGTCGGATAATGTTTGCAACTGACAGGGTGAACCATTGGTTGGGTTCTGTTTTCATGCAGGCGCAATTTAGAAGGCGAGAGACGCTCGAAGACGGCTTTAAAGAGATAGAATTGCCCGCTCCCCTGTGACGGATCGGTCGGACAATGTTGAACTACGTTGATCGTTCAATAATCGTATGCTCGTTTACAATGCACCGTTAGCCTGAACTCCTTGTCTGCACTTAATCCCCAGATTTGATGTCGACGTTGCCATCACCCACCAATGAAGAAGTCACCATCCACGTTTCCAACGTCGCAAAAAACGACCTGATCCCCAGCCCGTCCGTGGGGAGAGGCGCTACCTTGGCTGCGTGCCGTATTGCCGACAAGTTGCGATGTCGCAGCCCGCGGAAGAAGTGCACGGCCGGGTTGGCCATGCCACCCTCGCTGATGGAGACCGTCATGTTCTCGTCGCAGGCTGACAGCACCTCCTGCGCGGTGGTGCCGTGCACCACGCGGTCCAGGTGACCTGTCGCAGGTAGCGCTCGGTCACAGTCTGTAGCAGCCCTTGGCCCCTGGCGGTGTTTTGCTTCAACTCGTCACAGTTATCTGGCACGACGCATGTTACTGAGCAATCGGACCCAACCGGTCATGGTCTTTCGCCACGGCTTGTCGCAGCGCTCTGTAACAGCCTGTCGCACCGCTCTGTAACAGCCTATAACAGCGCTCTGTAATAGCTTGTCGCAGCGCTCTGTAACAACCTGTCGCAGCACTCCGCAACAGCTGTCGCAGCGCTCTGTAACAGCCTGTTGCAGCACTCAGTTACAGTCTGTAGCAGCCTTAACCACGGCATCAGTCGCAGCCTGCCGCAGCGTTTCTTTGTAACCTGCCGTCGCGTTCTGCCATAACCCGTCATGGTTCTGGTCACAACACTCTGCCTTGAATCTGCCACTGCGCTCTGGCATATGCCACGATCTGTTACAACACTCTGTTACGATTAGTGACCGTCCCCTGTCAGAGCAAACATTCACAAAATCGTGCGAGTCTGTCGCAAAGTTCCGCCGCAGCCTGTCACCCTGCTCTATAACAAGTCACAACGCTCTGTAATAGCTTATCATAGTCGCTTGCCAAGACCTGAGGCAGCGCTGTCACGCCCGGTCAGTCTGTCACAGTCTGATGTTATAGCCTGTCAAATCACTTTCACAATGTGTCAAGGCGCTGTTGGGAACAGCCCCGGGCCTCCGTCACACAGTCCGCACACCGGCCCGGTCAGCAGCTCTACGGCACAGTGCCTCCAGGCTAACACAGCTTGTCCACATGTCTTGCTCAGCATATCCCACCAGCCATTCATTAGGGGTAAGTCACTCACCACATCTGTTTAAATACGGCGAGCCGGTGCTTTTGTGGTGGCAGAGCACGTTCAAAAATAAACAGTGACGATCTTTTTGCATAACGCAGAACTCCATTCGTGTGGGGCCAAAACGTCTAACTGTTTCTTGTTTGCTGTTGTTCTGAAGGCAAATCTTAATAGCACACCGCAAAATGCCACTGGTTCAACGTCTTCTGTGATTAGCGACAAGCCCCACCGACGAGCACCGCTAGCCACACCTGACCAGCTACACCGGCGGCCCCACCGGACCCGCCGACACACCGGTCCCGTCCACCAGCCCCCACCGGGCGCGCCGACCCCGTCCCACCAGCGGCGCGCCGACCCCGACCCACCAGCGGCGCGCCGACCTCGCCCCACCAGCGGCGCGCCGACCCCGTCCCACCAGCGGCGCGCCGACCTCGTCCCACCGGGCGCGCCGACCCCGTCCCACCAGCGGCGCGCCGACCCCGACCCACCAGCGGCGCGCCGACCTCGCCCCACCAGCGGCGCGCCGACCCCGTCCCACCAGCGGCGCGCCGACCTCGTCCCACCGGGCGCGCCAACCTCGTCCCACCAGCGGCGCGCCGACCTCATCCCACCAGCGGCGCGCCGACCTCGTCCCACCAGCGGCGCGCCGACCTCATCCCACCAGCGGCGCGCCGACTCCGACCCACCAGCGGCGCGCCGACCTCGTCCCACCAGCGGCGCGCCGACCTCGTCTCACCAGCGGCGCGTCTCGCCCGCGTCGCTCACCCGTCTCCATCTGCCACACGGAGACGCTCCCGTCTTCGGTCGACACCACGAGAAAGTCGTCCAGAGGCCGCCACTTGACCGTGGCGATGGGGAAGAGGTGGCGCGAGGCCAGCATCAGGCACTTGCGCTCCTTCAGCGACAGCAGCGCCACCGAGTAGTCGTCGGCCACGCTGCAGATGCACTGCTGCATGCGGGGCTGCCGAGCACGTGCGGAACGCCAACGGTCAGCTGTCGCTGGCGGGGATACGCGGCGGGACAGCGGCGTGCGAGGGAAACGGGCACTGGGCACTCACGACTTCTCAAGTGGCACAGGAATGACACGGACTCAGGCTGAGGTCAATGCGACGAAAACTAACCAAGCGTCGTCAGCGCAAAACCAAAAACGCATGGATGGACATACCTACGATCAAAGCTCAGTGACGTCCTCCGAGTCGAACGAAAAAGACCTTAAGCATGCCATATTTTTCGTGTTCAAACAGGAAAAGGTCGTTCAGAGCTGTAAACAGCGCTGTGTGGTATGGCTTGCTACCTCGACGTTGCCTCAGGATCAACCCCACATTCCACGCTCCAAGTATGGCGCTATTACATGGCACAGATATCCCAAAATTTGTCAGTGTGCCCTATTCCCTGTCCAGCTGTGTTGTGGGACGCTTCCAAGACAAAGCGAGCAGATCATCCTCGGCCGAAAAGACAACACCATTCCTTTAAAAAACAGGGGCCAGCATCTCACCGCAACGAAGCAAACTACTGCAGACAATAACCGGCCCTCGCCGTCGCTCTGATCCTCCTAAACTCACCGACACGGTCTCTGGTGGCACGTGCAGCTGGGAGATGATGCCGGCCTGCACGACGAAGCGGTGCAGCAGAGCACCGCTGAACAGGTCCCACAGGCAGACGGAGAAGTCCTCGCCGCCCGATACCAGCTGGGAGATCTGGTACCGGCTGTGGCTCAGGTGCGGGAACAGCAGAGCTGTCACGCGGCCCCGGTGGCCCGACAGGATCTGGTGGATCGGCCAGTCTGTCGGGACAGCGCCGGTCAGTACAGCACAGCTCGGGTGGCCCGCCAGAATCTGGCGGATCGGCCGGCAGGATCTGGTGGATCGGCCAGTCTGTCGGGACAGGGCCGGTCGGCACAGCACAGCTCGGGTGGCCCGACAGGATCATTTCGAAAAGCGCATTGGAAGCGAGGGCCTTGCGGCCATCCAACCCGAGGCTGACGTTCTGCAGCTGGCGCTATCTCATAGCTCATTGTTCCCTTGAAAACAGCAACTTGTGCGGGGCGCGCAACGCCGCACCACTGCATCCAACTTGCATGTTCTCAGTCCAACCAAAATAGTCAAACCTTGCCTCCAGTTACTAACGGTAGACTTGCAGTACCCAAAACAGGGTTGAAATTCCGTACAGGACATTCCGAACTTCGGAGAAATTCGACAGCCAGCTGCTGAGATTCCCTGGCCCATGGAGCCAGACCACGCGATACCGCGCAGGAAATAACACTGGGCCGAGTTTGGTGGCCGGTTGGTCCTCTGATTCCTTAGCGAATGGGGCCAGATCACGTGATACCGCCGCAGAGTAAACACTGGGCCGAGTTTGATGGCCGGTTTGTCCTCACACTCCGTCACAAATTGAGCAGATCATGTGATACCGCCACAGAGTTAATACTGGGCCGAGTTTGGTGGCCGGTTGGTCCTCCGATTCCTTAGCGAATGAGGCCACACCACGTGATACCGCGCCGGAAGTGACACTGGGCCGAGTTTGGTGGCCTGTTTGTCCTCATATTCCGTAACAAATTGAGCAGATCATGTGATACCGCCGCAGAGTTAATACTGGGCCGAGTTTGATGGTTGTCCTCAGATTTCCTGACGAATGGAGCAGATCACATGATACCGCCGCAGAGCTAATACTCGATCGAGTTTGGTGGCCAGCTTATCTATGATGTCTGAACAGCGAGGTCCAGCACCGTCAGGTCGCAATGCTTCCCAGGATAATCTTGGACATCCAGGCACAAACTGCCCTGTATCGCAAAAATCGCTCATTCACGGTCCTCTTACACTTATTACCAATTGAGACAGTTTTCGTTACACATCGTTCAAAAAAACTAGTTTGGCGCACGGAAAAGCATCACCGAAAACACCTTAGATATTACGCTAGTGACGTCACACCGTCAACACACTGGCTCAGCAGCCTTCGCTGTAAAGGCCCCGAAACTACGGCGGCTCCCACTCGAAACAAATCACAGGCTTTCATGTCATGACTTTTGTGAAATATTGGTCTTTGGGAGTGCTGGGCTGGGCGACCCGACGTTTCAGTTAACTCTTCACGAGATACGCGTTGTATACGCTTATATATGGGGGTGCGGAGCACAACTAGATACGCATCGTCAAGTATGAGACAAAAAGACGCGCAGTCATTGCTGATTCACGTTGAATAAGGTGGCCACGATCCGCGGCGTCGTCGTCTGGCGAAGCAACAGTGGGTTTTTCTTGTGAATTAAGACTCCGCTGAACACGACACACAGGAACGCCTTCGACGACCCGCTCCATTCCGCATGGCACGGGTTATCAGCAAAATGACGCTGCCGACCGTGCATGGTCGTCAGCTCAGCAGAGCTCACTGTTGTCGCGGCAACGAAATGGGATGAAATTTAAGAGAAATGCATGGGTGTCACACGGTCAAAACTCATCAAGGTGCGCTGGGCTTCTCTTAATTGGGAATGTTGGTGAAGCTCCTGGATGTTTTCCTACCCGGTGCTGCATCTTATGTTGTATGTATATAGGGCCATGCCACGAGTTATTATCAAACAGCTTAAATGGTCAAAAATATATCATACGCGAGTTATTTATAAGGAAATTTAGTTTGAGCCCTTTCATTCGATGGATATTCGTGATCGGCGCCCGCACTAAGCTGTGCCTAATGCGTGAGCCCTGACCCCACCACCTGATGGCGACATCCGGATCAACGGCACATTTTTGCGACGAAAGCTGAACGTGCCGCAACACTCATCTCGGTCCGTCCTGCCCTCTGACGTCGCCTGACCTTTTGCGCAACCGTTGTCACCAGCCACAAGCCATCCCAGTCACGGACGAACCTCAAGCGACTACAGCGACTCTAACCCACCCCGCCATAAAGGCATGAGCTCTAATCAATCGAGCTGTCCGGACGGATGTTCTGATCCCGCCGCGATCATGACATCTGCCAAACCGCAATCCATCACACATAAAGAAGCTCAGCACTGCGAGATACCTGGTGATAACGCGTGATGATGGTGACAGACACCTGGTGATAGATGGTGATAGACGCCTGATGATAGATGGCGATAGATACCTGGTGATAGCGCGTAAAAATAATGTCGGGTGACAAACTGTCCCAGGTTCGTCTGCCGTGCAGATGATGGCACAAGTCTGACTGTCGTGACGGAACAGGACGACGCGCGGCACCCCGACACGGCGGCGCGCCCCGCGCGGCGGCACTGACTGTCGTAGCTCTGGTGTTTGCCGTGCAGCAGGTGGAGCATGACGGTGTGCGTAGCCGAGACGATGATGATGGTGCCGTCTTCGCGGCCGCACACCAGCCGGCCCTCCTGCAGCGGCAGGTAGATGCTGGACGTCAGCAGCGGCGCCGAGCCGTCCGCCGACTCCTGCCGACACGCACGCGCCACGCCGGTTACCGGGCGCCGGTGAGCGGCTCGCGCACGCCGACCGAACACGCACGCGCCACGCCGGTTACCGGGCGCCGATGAGCGGCTCGCGCACGCCGGCCGAACACGCTCCGCGACCCCCCGGTTACCGGGCGCCGGTGGGGCGGCTCGCGCACGCCGACCGAAAAAGCTCGGCGACACGCCCGTTAACGGGCGCCGGTGGGGCGGCTCGCGCACGCCGGCCGAACACGCCCGGCGACCCCCCGGTTACCAGGCGCCGGTGGGGCGGCTCGCGCACGCCGGCCGAACACGCTCGGCGACACGCCCGGCGACACGCCCGGCGACACGCCGGTCACCGGGCGCCGGCAGAGCACGCTCGTGCGCCGGGCCCATGCCCACTGGGTATTGGCCCACCGGGCCCATGCCCACTACTGACATCACTGGAGCTTCACGCTTCAGTGATGTCAGCGACCGTGTCCTGCGACATCATGCCTGCGCTGGCTTCCACGGCTGTTTATGTGTGAGACGTCACCAACGATAAGAGTTATAAGCAGAGTTCTAAGTCAGCCACCTGTAAACCAACACGCATGCCGCACTCGGGATTGGACAGGGTACAGTGAGAAAAGACAAGCGAGAACGACGAGAACGAGTACTCAGAGTATCGTTATTGTCGTTAAAACATTTAGTTTAGTTGCATGTTTTCTTCTTCTACTCCACACGAGAGCATTAATCACGCGTCACCCTAGCCGTAATGAGCCTTGCTGCGCGCCGCCTAAGACCCTAGCTGCAGCATCCACAGTCTCATCCTTTAATCTCATGAGCAATGCGGTTTTGAGCCGACACCAACGCCGGCCAAAAGAGCCATGGCCAGCGGAAGCAGATCTCAATCTGAACCAACACTGTTCTTCACATGCATCAAAAGCTCGGTGGGGATGGCAACACCTTGACCTCGTTTAAACGAACCTGACAGGTCAGCGTGGCAGGCGGCTTAAAATGTGACAGTGAGAGGAGGAGATGACGCACGACATTGTTGTCTGATGAGTTGTTTGCATATTTACTCCAGCACGTCGGGTGAGGAAACCGCAAGAATCAGCAGATCTTGCACCGCACCCGACAGCTTAACTAGTGACAGTGGCGAAACCACTGAAGCAGTTGGGAGGGGGGGGGGGGGGGCTAGGAGAGCCTTATCCGGGAATGGAATGTCTCGTGTAGTCCCGTTAGATCTGTGAAGGCCAACACCAGTTGAGCCCATGACCAGCAGGCCACACCTGTGTCGGCAGCAGGCGAGAAAGCCGGCCAGGGCCACGCTGGCTTCACACTCCCAACGCACGCAGCGAGCGCGGGTCACACGTGCTCACGCCAGTACGCGCACAGACTCCTCAGCACGAGTGACAGTGGGTGTTGTATCCCATGCAGATCGGGATACAGCACACGCTCCGAAGCTCGAAGCCAGGGCGTAAGCCCCTCATCAAAGCGCGGAACGGCCGGCGATCGTCAAGACCTCATCTAGCCACTTATCCACAGTGCGCCAAAAGTGGGGCCGGTGCATTCACTCCCGACGCAGGGCACGTTAGTATTGGTCATCTGATTTTGGCACTATATCACCCAAGTACACAGAGCAACCCAGCGGCTTCCTTAGCAGCGAGGAACACGGCCGGTGAAAAGCAGCCCACGCGACGTCTCACCAGCTGGTCCAGGACACCGACGGGAGGAGGCTTCATCGACTGCCACGCCCTCTCGATGCTCCACAGCACCGTCGGCGGCATCTCTGCCGGGCAGGGGCGCTGTGCGAGAACGGCGGCCATGTCCACAGAAAAACCACCCTCCCGGGTGGCCAGTGCCCTGATGGGCCACTGGTCGTAACGGAACTGTGGGAGGGGAGGGGGGGGGGGGGGGCACGCACATACAATCGTGTACTGAGACGGCAAAATGAGCTGAGAGCCCGAAGTATGACGAAGTTGACCGACGCTGGGGATCGCCGTATCGTACCTGGCGGCCGGTACAGCTGCTGCTGCAGCAGCTGCGCCAGCTGGTTGTTGGTGACGCGGGGCACGCGCCAGATGGCCAGCTGACCCAGACAGTCACCGCGCACCAACAGCTGAATGTTGGCCTCGCCGTGCAGCTCCGTGTGTATACTGACGGGCGGGCTAAACAGCTCCTGCCGGCACGCAGCAGACGTCGGCACACGCAGCCGAGCTCCGCAAGCCTGAAACAGCGGGCTGAACATCTCCTGTCAGCACACACAGCAGACGTCGGCACACACAGCCGAGCCCCGCAAGCCTGAAACAGCGGGCTGAACAGCTCCTGCCGGCACACACAGCAGACGTCGGCACACACAGCCGAGCCCCGCAAGCCTGAAACGGCGGGCTGAACAGCTCCTGTCAGCACACACAGCAGACGTCGGCACACACAGCTGAGCCCCGCAAGCCTGAAACATCGATCTAGAGAGCTCCTCCGTTGCACCCCAGACCTGGAGCCGCGGTTTCAAAGACAGGTCTGAAAGGCCAAGACCGACCCACTGAACATGAACAGCGGGATGTGTCTTCAACAACAACCTGTGCACTGTGGTCGCTTTTAACTCTTGCCAGCATTCATCACGTCGTGTTAATGGCCACACAAAATCCTCAAAACGTTTCAAACAGATAAAGCAAATTGTTAAAACGGTGCCCGTAGATAACATCTCCCCGAACATTCCCAAGGCTGGAATTTTGTCGACGGCGGTGGCAGGACAATGCGCATTTTCCCACCCACTTGTTGTATTCTGACGCAACATCCCCCAGTGCAGTTTTAGCCGAATACACCTCTGGAAAAGTGGGTTCCATAGGAACGAAGTCCTGGAAGCAACAGTCTCAAAGGCTTTAGAAAAGAAGGGATAATCACATCTTTCGCGAAATCTAGCTACATACGTTTGCATGTTAAGCACAGACAGACATACGTTCCTGGACTCACAAAGGCCACAATAATGAGTTTCTGGCATAGCATACAGCTATCTGATACCATCATGCCAACATGACCTCTGACCTCACGTGACCTCAAGTCACGAGAGGCCGTAACCTCTAGCTATTTGGAAGTAAGACAAACGACAGCACATGAATCAGCAATCAACTCGACTTTACCTGCTCGCCGGGTGACGACAGCACGCAGTAAAGGAACGGCTCGTCGGCCTCCCGCGAGTGGAATGCCTCGTGCGTCGGGATGCAGCTGGGGGTCACGGCGGGCGCGGGTCAGCGGCCCGACGGCCGGGGGCGCGTGGCACAACGTGGCCAAGGCTGCAGCGCTTGAGCGGACGCCGCTAGGCGGCCCATAAGCGCGACACGCACAATCACAGACGCACACAAACTCAGCAGCAGTAGTACAGCAGTGTTACACGACCGGCCGGGTGCGAAGCTCGTCCAGTGCGATGCCCGTGAGGGAGGTGCCCTCTCCGAGCTGTGGAGCGCTTCCGCACTGGGTTTGGCCGGGGCCGGTGGTGTCGGCAGCGGGCCGCCGCGCCGGTGACGCGGGCAGGCGCCACGAGTACGGCACAGCCTCCCAGAGGCGCAGTGTGCTCGTCCGTAGGCGAACGGAACACGTCACTTAAGCGTGCGATGTTTCCCGTGGCGTCCGTTTGGCGTGCCATACTTGAGCGAGCGCGGTCCATCTGTGCCTTTGTCGTCCCTTTTCAGGCTTTCATATGCAACCGAATAATACCACTGGTTCAGTCAAAGCCTAGGCCATTTGATCCAAAGGTTGTGCAAGGTCACCAAAGTCATTCCGTGGGTTTAGCGTCATATGACCTTGCACTTACGATATTCATGTACGGACACGATATCAATACGTTGCTGAAAGTTTTTCGACAATATGTTGGACCCAGGACCTCGTCTGACATGGCCTCCACATTGAATGACCCTTCACCAATATTGGTATAGCCCCTTCGCTCACATATTTAACCTGTATGCAATGGCAAAGGAAAGGTTATTAACTCTGACCTGCAGCGGAAGGTCTTTAGATTGAGAGGCTAAACACAGGAACACAGTGACCAGGGAAGAACAATTTTTACCCATGTATGCCACTCATGCCACGAATCCAGTGCACCCAATGTATCAAAAAAAGCAAAAACAGTCGAGGTAAATTGGACCACCAATGACGGAAACCAGCCAATGACAGGTACATACAAGAAAGACCATTCATACAAGACAATAAAGTCGCATAACATACAGACCAGAAGGATGCTTATCATTCCCGCCATACGTCACAAGTGGCTGATCCTCAGCCCCGTTCACAGGCAGTGGCATATCACTAATGGAAAGCCCACGGTCAGTTACGTCAGGACAACAGCCGAGCGCACCTGTAGTTGCCCTCATCCCTCACATTTCACAAGTAGAGGATACGAACTGCTTGGAAAGAAATGAATATGTTTTGGTTATCAAGCCTTGACGCCAGTCTTGCATTAAAAAGGTACAAGTTATTGATTACATTAAAGATACAATTTGGCTATGTTTGACCAAATCAAACCTGGCAAACTGATTCGAAGAAGAGCTAACCGTTGTGTCTCATCCCTTCCACAGTCGACAACCTGGTCGGCTAACATCCCCATCCCATCCACATCCGCTCCAACATCCGCCGGCAGCCACGCCCCAACCCACCAGGCAGCCAATGGCTGCAGCGTCGCCAGCTGCGCTGGCACCGACGGAAGCCATCCCCGCCCGAATCACTTCACAACGTCTATACTGACCATCACCAGATGTGTGCGGAAACGGCGTGCGAGGGGAGGGAAAGGGGTGAGACTACAGGTCCGAAGAACCGAACAGGCTGACCAGCTCTACGGCTCCATGCAGCTAGTGCAGTGCGGCGGCAAACGGAAGCACGAAAGAAATGAGATGTAGGATCTACTGACCTAACTGCCTTTCCTCGCAGTTTTCTGTCAGAAAAGAGAAATCATTCAGAGGAAAACTAGAATCGAGTGGTGCAGATGTCACATTCCGACTCATCCACAGGGGTGGCCATGAACAGGATGGAACTCCAACAGGTATGTACAGCACTCAAATACCGGGAGGTGACTGCTGTCCTGTAAAACTAAATGTCATTATCTACGAAGTGTCAAAACTGTTAAATGCCATTTTATGCCTTGCGGCTATTGAATCCAACTGATAACAGGCTGGCGGGTCTTTCGGAGTCTTAAAAGACCAACTCGTTGGGTTCAGCCCCCGTTTGAAGTAAGCACAACAGATTTAACGACGTCCGAGAGCCGTTCTACAGCTCCGAGAGCTAATCGGAGCTTCGACAGCCGCTAAACCGGCGCAGGGCTCGCGAGCCGCTCGACGACCACGCGCTCCGTTCACCCGCCGGCCGGCCGGCGCTGCCACTCACTTGGGTGGCAGCCTGTAGATGAAGGCGTGGCCGGAGTCGGCCCACACGATGACCCGGTCGGCGGTGAGGAACTCGCCGCGCTGCCACCGCTCGCCCTCGTCACCCGACGACGAGCACAGCACCGAGAAGTCGGACGCGTCGTAGATCTGCCGGGCACGCGGCACGCGCCGGTCAGGCCGCCGGTGTGTTCGGCATCGGCTGACGACGCTCCTGGAGTGTCCCCGTTGCGCCGCTGCTCGCCGTCGGCGCGCCTCGCAGCGAACCGTGCGTGAAAGCCCGAGAGGAATCCGGAAGACTGGACGGGAACGCCAGGACCGCGGCATCGCTTCCCAGCTACCGTTTGACGCGGCCCCGTGACGCTGCTTCTCCAACGAGGCGAATCATTTCCGCTTAGATTAAAGCCATGATTGAAAACATTGAAGAGTGATGTTTCACTGACAATCGCCACTGCGGCATTTTCAGGGGGGTTTCGACTATACTACGTTCGTTTAGCAGTCCCCATGCTAGCTGCCCCCTCCCCCCTGTCCCGCCCCCTACCGGGCGCGCCCCCGTGTTCCCTTGCCAGGGACGCGAGACAAGGCGACGGTAGGTAGGATCGGGTCCTTTCGGGACACCAGGGCCAACGGCAACCGGCATCGACCAGATCAGCCGCGGGCAGCGTTCACGCTGACAACAATGGAGCAGTAGACGAACCAATGCCTCAAAAGTTCGCCATCATTTCACGTTTTAATCCTATTTTTCGCATGCTAACTTTTAGTCCAGGGCCACACGGAGGGGGGGGGGGGAGGGGGAACGTTCGGTTCCCTGCGATATCAAGACGTGCCGACGTCATCTCGATCAGCTACGGCTAAAAATCCTTTTGGTGGTCGGTATTTTTTAACTCGACAAAATCTAAGAAATAAAATTTTATGAAAACGTCAACGTATGCACTAGCTCAAAAAAGCATGCATCCTAAACCAAGTTCGTGGTGATGCCTGTGTGGTACACCAATGAGACGTGTACCACTCATAACTGATGCCACTCTTCCCCATATTGCTATGCCAGTCACCAAGCCTGTGACTTATGCATTTGGCTCTCCGTCATCTGAGCTATGCCGAGATAAAAAAAGCCACTTTCCTCCGCTGAAATCTGGGCAGCAGCCTTTCAAATCCAGGCAATTGCTCTGTTTACGACTGTATGGGCGGCAGCCTGATGAAGCAGTGTGTTTTCTCGCGTGGCAGCAGTCAACAAAAACACCGGTCAGACCCGACAATGGGAATGGTCAGATAGAGCCTCCTGTATGGTCTCACAAAGCTGGCCTGGATGGAAGCCGACTGCAGCAATACTGGCGGAGTGCTGACGTGCCGTGCTATGCTGAGGGACGAATGATGTGGAGTGGATGAGTGGGGTGCTGTGGAGCAGATGAGTGGAGTGATACAGAGTGGATGGATGGGGTGCTGTGGGGTGGATGAGAGTAGTACTGTTGATTGGATGAGTGGAGTACTGTGGAGTGGATGAGCTTAGTGCTGTTGGTTGGATGAGCAGAGTGCTGTGGAGTAGACGAATTAAGTATTATGGAGCGGATAAATGGAAAGCTCTGGAGTGGGTGAGTGAGTGCTGAGGGATGAGCTGGTAGAAACGCGTCGCGGTGACCTAACAAGATGCACATTAGATAAGCCAGGTCACCTTGCTGCAGCACAGTGAAACAAAGTTATCCTTCACAGGCGGAGTATGGCGGGACCACCACGCAATGAGTTACCCAAACTAAATTCATATCTTTCACAACACAGTCAGAACTAAACGGCTGAAGCCCCAGATAAAACGACTTCAACAGTGGGTACAACCACGGACTGAATGCAGCCAACGCCCCTGACCTGCCACATGCTGGAGGACACCACGAGCACGGTGCGCGGGTTGTACGAGCAGCACTTGAGGAAGTTCACGCCGCTGGACCTGATCCGCTTGCTCTCGTTCTCGTACACGATGTCGCTGGAGCACTTGCCCTCCATGCGGCTGAGCGTCCAGATCTTCACCACGCTGTCCGCGTTAATCGCCATGACGATGTCGTCTGGGAGAACGGTCACGAGTAACGGGCGTGGCCGCGTGCGAAGGCTAGCAAAACCAGCTGAAGCGGTGTCATCAGACTTGATAGCGATGCACAATGCCACACAAAACACGTCCATTTGTATCTACGGTGAAAAGATATTCAAGCGCAATATTGTTCAAGGATGCCTCTTAAGCCTCGCGGCTGAGTGCAGCCGACGATTCCAATACTATGCTGCAGAGCACCATCAGAGAACAGCAAGGCGCTTACTTATTGCGAAGAATGAGGTCATCCGAATGTTTCGTTCGATTGGAAATGTGCATTGAAATTCGCACGTAAAGCACCGCGTACTGAGGTGCATGCTACAGTTGCTCATGCCATTCAGGACAAGTGTGTACAGTCACACAAACATCTTTTCATCTATCTCCCCGTCTCTTTCTACGCCCACTCTCTCATTCTCGCTCTTGCCATTGTTCTCGCTCTCCATCACCGATGGATATGGATAGCGGACCCTACGATCATCCGCGCGCACGTGCAGCGCCTGGTCCGCACCTGCCACCGCCTTCGGCTTGAAGATGTGCAGCGAAGTGACCCAGTTGGAGTTGACCTTGGACGACAGCCAGTAGACGACCTCGAGCGTGAGCGGGTGCACCACGGCGATGTCGGCGTACTCGCCGCAGCAGAAGAGCAGCACGTCGGGCGCGTGCGTCGGCTGGTAGGCCTGCAGCACAGGCAGCGCCGGCGGCCGGCGGCGTCGGTAAGAGCGGCCGCCACGGTGGCCGGACCGTGCGGCTGGCGGCGGCCGGCCCCCACGGCCAGACGGCCCGGCCGGCGCGGCACCGGGGCCGGCCGGACGGCACCGGGGCCGGCCAGCCGGCGCGCAGCGGCGACGCTCTCACACACCGACGCATGGCAACGCTCCAGCGGCACCCTATTCACCACTGAGTACGAATGACAGGCTTATAAAGTATCGAAAACATTGCGAAAATAATTTCACTGTAGCATGTAGGCATGATCTGGAACACATCTGCTCACATCAACATTCTGTCACACGTGCAAATGGAAACAATGCTCCTGGCAAATGTCTGGCATAAAAAGCATGTTCGCAGAATGAACATCATACACTCTGCCCAGATCCAGCATACTTTCCAGCGTGGCCAGCGGCATGTGCTACTCAACTGCAGTGCCACCGATGTATGCACCCAGAACCGCCTCCCTTAGATTTACATCTTCCAAAACCCAACAAGAAGTGAAAACCCTGACATCTGAGGCACCAACATGCAGACATATCGCGCGCACGCACGCACGCACACACACGTGCACACGTACACCTACCCACCCACACCCAAACGCACACGCACACGCACACTTACCTCGATCTGCCGGTGAATGAAAGACATTTTCACAGTCTCCATGCACTGGCCCTCGTGTAGATCCCATACGCACATCTCTCTGCCGACAAGGCACGTCCGTGGTGAGTGGAGGCATGGCGCAACTACCGTACACGAATTTCAGCGGGTCAAAGTGTCATTTATCTTGCAGTCTGCCAGTATTCTCTATTCATATTTAGGAGCCTGAATGTCCAGAATGAAGTATCTACTATCTACTTTACTAATAGCTTCAACTGCAAGAAAGCCAACACGTTTATGACAAGTCGTTTAACCTTCCCAGTCGCCCGAGTCAGTGTGGGCATGTGCCTGCAAGCGCCCTCGGCGAACGCATACACACGCACACACATGCCACAGTGCCTCACCCGTTCAGGGCGGCGGAGACCAGGTATCTGTGATTAGTGTGCAGCAGGCCGTTACTGAGACAGACGATTCGAGCTGTGTGGCCCACCAGCATCATGTAGGGGTTCACCTGGAGACGGTCCAAACGAATGCCGGTCACGCACGGGGGAGTCCGAAGGCGATCCAGACAACGAGCAAGGTGTTGATTAATCCCGTTCCAACGTTCACATCAGGTACACTAGCGGGGGGTGGGGAGGGGAGGTGACGGTAGTGTAGTCTTTAACGCGTCTGCGTTGACCACGTGGCATCTGGGAAACAAGAGGTATGGGGTTCGATTCCCCGCCGTGCCCGCCCTTCCTGCCAGGGTGAGAGGCAGGCGACGCCATATAGCCTCAGCAGCTGTGTGTCGTAAAGCCCCAATGACAATGGCACTAGCAGGGGCGTAGTTTCGCAAAATGAGTAGGGCGAGTAGCGAAAAATTCTGCAACCTGCCCCAAAATACACCAAAACACCGGTTTCTCCCGGCTTTGGTCCACTTAACAGTGACATCTAGTCACACTAGCGTAACTACTGAAAAGCTACAACTGCATCCACCCTTCACGACCACGCTCGGCGCGAAGTCGACCCACTCCGTGCCAGCGCCAGACACCACACTGATTGCACTTCCACCGGTCCGGGGAAAGTGCCATCAGTGATGGCCCCCCCCCTCTCCAGGGGGAGGGGCATCTGGCCGCGTGACCCCGAGCCGGCCCGCTGCGCACCTCCAGCGTGCTCGGGTGCACATCCCAGGTGACGATCTGGCCGTCGGCGCATCCTGTGACGAGCGTCCTCTGGTCGGGCGTCAGGTAAACGCACGAGATCCGGTGGGTGGGCGGGTGCCGGCCCCACAACACCACCGGCACGATCAGGCTCGGCCCCAGGCTCATGGTGACTGGAGGGTGGATGGGACAGTGACATCGGGTCAGTAGGGCCACATGGCCAACAAAGAGCATACACAAGCGAAACAGAGTCACACAGGATTATGGTCTTGGAAACATTACAGTTCCACTTCATCCAAACAAAAGAGTACGAAATTTTGCAAAAGTTGGTTTGGAAGTTGCTTCACCTGAAAAATTGTCAAGTTCAAACAGGCAAGCACAAGAGACTACAATGACCAGGCTTAGCTAAAATTCATGCAAGACAGCCACAAATGACACAGAATGTACTGATCACCACACCCATATGTAAATAACTGTTGCAGGTGTCTTAACCCACAACCTCTGGTCATGATTTCACCCACCATCAGGACAATTTGTTGGCTTGGAGAACATTTGCAGGCAACATGTGATGAATTAAACAACATAAGCTGGTGGTAACTAACAGTCATAAGAGCTTCTCAATGACACACACTTACACTGTGATTAAACAAGTGTGTCCCCTCACCTGTCGCCCTTTCTCTTCTCCGCTGGCCAATCTACTGACAACTGCAGAAAATGCAAGGTTGGCCAACAACCCGACACCACCGCAGCATTGGGTCAGTGTACTGGAAACAAAAGATAGAGCATGCTGTCCTAATTTCAGCAAATCCCATGGTGCTCACATCCAACTTCTTCAACCTCAAACTCATATCACACTTCTCTTAGGTTTGCAAGGTTCACTGGAATGAAAAATAACTGAGTGACAAATTGTTTTCAAGAATAGGTTTAACTAAGAAGATAAAAAGAGTAACACTTTACAATATCATGTTGATGAAACATCAGCAGGTACTGAATATTGAATGTAAAACTACTGTTGCACATGCATACAAACATCTTCACTATTTCTGCATTGCATATCCACACATAGCTTTTTGTTTTACTGGGAATTAGTTTGCTGAAACCCCAGAAAGCTGCATGATTATTTTGGTATTTTACACATCACAGCCAAGGCTTGAAATGAAGTGTATCTCTATTCAGGATAAATCATTGGTAAAAATAGCAGAATCAGCATATGGCTTGTGGTCATTAGACCCAAATAAGATGTGTAAATTGTCTAAAAATGATCATTTTGCTCAAATCTATATTGTCAAAGGATATACCAGCCTTGTCTTGCAGTCTCTCACCATAAAAATGCATCGTACATTTCTTGATTTAGCTGCAATTTACATGCTGCCTCGACAAATGTATAATCCATAAGGGGCTGCCCAACAAACAAATTAAACAGTTTTCACTATTTTTTAGTGGTCATCTACCATGGTAACCACATGGTTCTCTGAGCACTAAACAATTTTCCTAGTGACAATGTGTTAAGCTTGTCTCCCAAAAGCTTCACACCTGCTTGGCCCCTGGCTGAGCTCGAAGTAAGCAAGAGAGTGCAGTGTGTTATTTGTCATACAAGGCCAACATTATCCAGTCTTCAAGTCTTGAAATGTAAAAATACTACCTTAATATTATTTTTAAGCACACTTGGGTGTAACAATAAGCTGTCTCAATCATCACTCCTTGTTATGCTTTGGTTATGCTCTATCAAAACCTCATCCCTCCTTTCATGCATGACATAATATGTATGGACCACTCCTAAGCAGTTTATCAACCATCCATTACCTTATTTACTGGGACATTTGGATATAAAGACATAAAGACATCTGGCCACATAAAGACAAAGAGCCACAAGGGCCTATCAAGCCTGGCCTGCCTCATGTTCTGTCAACACCCTTGGAGTACCCAACACCCTTGACACCACCAACTTGAATTGCTTACATTAAACTATGCAGCAATCTTCCCAAGCCAGCATAAATATCAAGTCAGGACAGGATCATCATAGGTTTCAGTGCATAGCAGAAACAAGTCTTGATTTTTCATTAGTTATTATAAGGTAAGCAAATCAAAGACATATCTCATAGGAACAGGAATGACTTCACATAGTTCAATATGATACAAACAATCATCACACCATCCCATTGCAGCAACACCAGTCATAGAGTAAATTGAACCATTTATATTGAAAACATTTTGCTTACCAAAAACTGCTTCAGGGCTTGATATATAAAGTTAAAGTATACTCTTCTGATGCAAATGCTATTCTTCTTTTTGCCAGACATACTCTTTTTAAACTTGAATAATTTTGTAGAGTTTTGGCTACAGCAAGGAGCATATGAGAGGCAGGTGCCCTGTTGGTAATTTTGCTATGATGGCATCTTAGCCATGGCGCTACAGCTGCAGACAAAGCAAAAAAGTGTCCATATAAGTTGCCCAGACTTTGGTCAGTGTTCAGAAGCAATATTTAAGGAATTAGTTCTTCTTCCTGTTCAGGCATTGGGAACTGTTCTGATAGGTTAAATTACTATACCAGTATACTGACATCACTAACTGACAGGCAGCACACAGAGACTAAACAACATTGCATCACATACTTGCCATAAATGAGCCTTGCCATATGATGTTGTGTTTTAGTGTATCTTAGGGGGAATCCTGCCAGAAATAAACCTACCAGTCCATCACATATCACATCAGGTACATAGGCAGGCGGATATGGCTTCAACTGATTAACAATGTTGGCCTCTGACTATAACAAACTGACAATGTCTGTACAGCACTGCATCACAACAATAAAGTGCTTAATCCCAGGATTATACGACCCAAGTCGTCCTGACGATTCCCACGAACCAAAATGAGCAGATATCCAATACTGATGAGTCGCATTAACCTCAACACTTACACAGGTACTTGTAGCACAACCCTGATCAATGAATTGCACTACCCCTCCATAAACCAGAGCCTCCACACATACTTCTCAACTGGGCAAGATCTCACAATAACACTTACTCGGGAAGGGGGCAGTTATGGCGCAGGCGCGACAAAACTGGATGACATCAGCTGACTCCTAAGAAAAAGTAATGTTTTTCACGTTTCCAAAATATGTTACTATCAGGCAACATGGTTGTACCCGGTCAAGGTGCTACTTTGCCCGGCGGATACTGACAGCGTACGAACTTTTAGTGGCTTGTCTGGTGCTGCACGCACCGCGTGTTTTAGGCAGCGAGGCGGCCTGTGGTGCCTGTTTTGAAACTATATGATCATGCACTTCTTGGATTGTTATAATGATTCAGTACGACTTTGCTGACCTCGCTTATGCATAACTCTTGAAAGTCTTCTGCAAAAACGTGGGAGTATAGGCAGCGAGAGAAGCGAGTGTGTACTCATTCGCTTTGCTTGGCCCAGATGAGCTTAGGCTTGGCTGAACATTAGGGTTTTCGCCGGGTTTAGCGAGACGTTTTAGCAATGAACAGAGCAGCTGATGAGGCATGACGTAAGCCCACAGAACTTCGGATGTTGTTTGAGTTCGCTCTCGATCTCTCTTACGCTGGGTGTGTTGCTGCGAATCGCTCATTGTATCACCGGGGCTACGGCGTCTCCGTCGGCAAAACAGATAAGTGAAACAAACACATAGGTGGCGCTTGGGCTGTGGTCTCGTGATCTCTACGATCAGATGGCGCTACGCACGCTCGTATCGGCTCTGCAGTCCTAAAGCTTCCATGCGGATAGATGTTCAGGGGCTTGATGTTTAAGTACAGATGTTCGAAAATCCCGTTATTCCACATTGGTCCAACATTTGTCAGATTGGATCCCATTTATGGAGGGCCCTACACTATCGGGGTCGCTCTTATCGCGGTCGCAATCTGGTAGCCTGCCGGAGCACTCTTGGTCGCTCAGGGTCCATCCTTATTAGTCTTGGGTAAATCTTCTCGCTTGGAAGGCACTGCATTGCTGTCCGGGGCCCATGTGTTCACCTGGCAAGGCACGCTAGATGACTTGGAGGCCCTCCGGAACCCTTTCGGCGGGGGAGGGGCTGAGCCCGCCCCCTCCCCCAAGGTTCCAGGAGGCTTATCAAAGCATATCGATGCACTGGACCAACTGATCGAGACCCTCGCGTTTGTGGGTTTTTTCCCGAAGAAAAGCATAGCATTGCTTATATTACAGGATCCGCACGTGAAATTGGGGTCGTTTGCTGGCTTAAAAAGAATGGTGAGCGACGACCCAACCATCTTGCGCGACTCATCAGAACGGTCATCGCCCCACAGCGTGCGTTTTCAAATAATTTCGCACCTCATCTCTGCGTGGGTTGAGTGCTCTGCCCAGTCCTCCGGTGCTTACTAACAGTTAATACACTTGAGGCATTAACCACGCTAATTTATATTTACAATAGTTGTTAATGCCAGATAATCAACATAAGCTACACGCTCCGCACCCCGTTGGTGTAATGCTGAACACGGCGGTCTCGCTCAAGGCAAGCGATAGACTCAAGTGTATCAAGGCGCACCCGTGGGTCGGGCTCCCGCATGGGTTTGCCGCTCACAACGGAAAACATTTACCACGATGGACGGCGCAGGCCGACCCATGACATTATCGAGACCGGTCGCTGCGCTTGGGCTAACAGGTGGACACCGAATTGCATGTGGATCGGAATTTGGACTTCTTGAGAGGCGGAGACTGTCTATGCAACGAGCAGCTCTTCGCAATGACAGAATTCGACGCATTTGAATCTGACGCTAGCCGCGCCTTCGTTCTTATAAACACGTATCGCTCGTTTTACGTGCATTTCATTCATAACGGGAAACAAACAAAAAGGTATACTCCTTGACAGCATGCCATTAACAATGCGTCCCCGTTCCGCGCGCACAGCCGCGCATAGCAGACAGGTCAGCCCTCCACGACACCCTGGGCCATGGCCTCCGGCAGAGACGGCTGAGGCAGCACCATCTCCGGCAGGGCGATGCCGCCCAGCTTCTCAGCCAGTTTCAGCACGGCGTCCTCCAGCAGCTGGTCTGCGGCGTCCTCGCCGGCCTCCCCAGCGGTCTTCTGGGACGACTCGTTGCCACCCGGCGCCTCCACTAGCACCTGGCACACGGGCGGCTTGGCGAACAGCGTGATGGCCTTTGGGATGTCCTCGTGCATCATCGACAGAAACAGCATCACCTGCATCTGTTCCTGCACGTCCGACGTGACGTCGCCCAGCACCGCGTAGATGTGATCCTTGTCGAAACGGCGCGTCATCATCGTGTCGACGTCGTCGAGCACGATGATGCGCAGGTCGGCCGCCTTCAGGGCACCTCGACGTAGCATGTCGAAGGCGCGCCCCAGCGTGCCCACCACCAGGTGGCAGCCGGCACTCATGTCGCGCAGGTCGTCGCGGATGCTTGTGCCGCCGATCGACAGGTGGCAGGTCAGTCGCGGCCGGATGAACGTCGCCAGGCCCACCAGCTCGCGATGCATCTGCTTGGCCGCCTCGCGGGACGAGGTGAGCACCAGCGCCTGGCAGGCGCGCTGCTGCGGGTTCACCTTGTTGAGCACGGCCAGCGCGATGGCCGCCATCTTGCCGTCGTCGGCGCCGTCGCCGCGTGCCTGCACCACCACGTCGTGTTCCTGCAGCAGAGCCGGCAGCACCGCCTGCTGGAACGGCGTCGGCTCGCTGGCGCCAGACGGACTCGCCTGGATGCCGGTCATCAGGTCCGGCTTCAGCTGTAGCTCCTCGAATGAAGTGACCGGCGCGCCGCGCCAGGTCGGCTGCAGCGGCGTGTCCGAGAGGCCGCTGGCGGCCGGCGGCGCGCGGCCCTCGCTGGCCCGCTTGGCGCGCCGGTGGCGCCGCGAGCGCCGCTCAGAGCGGCGGTTCTTCTTGGGCCGCGGCGAGTGCTCGCCCGGCTCGGCGTGGCTGCTGTCCGTCTCGTTGGACGACAGCTCTTCGCCGGTGCTGGGTCGCTTTTCGTCCTCGACCTCGTCGCCGGCCGTGACGTGGCGCGGCTTCTTCACGTCCCCACCGCGCCGCTTGCCTGGCGCCGTGCCTTTCTTGGCCACCAGGTAGCTCACCTGCTTGTCGAGTTTCAGGATGCTGCGGTACAAGTTGTGATGCTCCTTCTCCTGCAGGTTCTGCATCACACGCATCTGGTCCACGCACGTCTGCAGCCGCTCGAACAGCTGGCAGATGTCGCGTTCGTTCATGGTCACAGACATGGTCCGGCGGCGGCGGGTCGGTCACTTAGTACTGTTAGAGCGTTGGACCTCAACCCATGCCGCGCGTGGGGGGAATGGCGCCGCGCGGCCGGCCGTGCGCCCGGCTCGGGTGAGCGCTGCGTGGCCCGCGGGGATCGGTGTTCGGCGGCGCAGTCTGCTTGCCAGGGGAGGTTCTGCCAGCGGCCGCGGCGCGCGTAGTGTGACGCCGCTGCCTACTCGGAGGTGGTCGGCGACCAGTTTTCGTAAAGCGCACCGCAAATCTTCGAAGGGGAGCCATGGGTTTTAATTGTTGAGACTAATCAACACAAATCATGTGACTGGTTGCACCACAGATTGGCATGACATAATATTCACACAACCTTTTAGAACATCACATCCCGTCCATAATTTAAGTTACATATGGAAGGGAAGTGAGCTTTGACGGAGTGCAACAGGAGCTTAGCAAGAGAGTGAGTAGGTGAGAGGTCTTGAACAGCGTAACATTACGCTCAGCGGTGGTTGCAATCATACCAAAATTTTCAACAACATGCAGCCTTCAACCAATAGGTATGCCGTGGGCACTAGAGCTGGTCTGACCCTCCCATTGTCTGGTCAGAACTGGTCAGACCCTCCCACTGTCTCATTGTGGACCACTTCATTGTTATTTCTCGTATTTCCATTCCATGACAGACAAAATTACCTCGACCAACGCAAGTAACTCACTGATATTGAAAGTCCTGCCCTGTCCCGTGGAACAAAATGTGCCTCTGGTAGACTAGGAACTAGTCGCCGACACAGGGCTTCTTGTTAAGCACTCTGCGCCTTGATAAAGGAAGCTACTTTATTGCAGGGGCACCAGCCACCGCAGGAGGCCTTCAGGAGCAGTCGCTGACACCGACCTTGTCCCCGCTTCGAAAATGGACCCCATGGTCTAAGTCGACATATAGCCAACTGGTCAGTACTGATGGTCCCGGGGTTACATAGACACCTTCCTCGTCCCGGGTACTCCAGACCGACCCTTGAGCTGACCTCTGAGCGCCAGGCGTTCATCCCGGAGGCGTCCCCCGGCCAGCCCCTCGGGCCCTCCAATCAGCCTCTTAATAGTCTGTGTCAAGGGTCTCGAAGGCCACTCAGGGCCTAACGTGATGATAGGTCCCCTTTGCCCTCCTCCTTCACGCCGTAAGCTGGCTGCGCCCCTGGATGTGTAGGATGTGTGAAACGGAATGCCAGTCAGAGACTCGTCCTCAGAACGCAGCTCCAAGGTGAATAATGCGTCCCCAGCCATAAACAGGTTGATACCAGTCTGGTTTTAAAAAGTGGTCGTTTTTGCTGGTGGGCTTAATATACTAGATTGTGGAGAAAACGATTGTTGATTTCCTACTACATCTTGGTAATTTGTTTCGCTTGTTTGATGGAAACTCGGCCAATGTGGCGTATAATATCCTTTCTGGACATTTCATTCGTGTATCTGGTGACTTAGCTGGTGTATCTGGTATCTGATGACTCGTGACTATTTTTTGCGAAAATGTGCTAAATGAAGCGAAAGTGACGCAAATGTGCCAAAACTAGGTTATTTTCAGTTTCTGGTACGAAGCATCATCGGCGCGAATAAGGCCATCGAAACGGACAGGTAGGTCTGTGGATGTCTAGGTATTGCCAGGTATGTCTGCCGCAATACGGTATGAACTTTGTGTCCCGAAAAGCAGAGGTACCTTGTGCAATGCAAGTCGTGGTCCTTCCCAGCTCACTGTGCGAAACGTGCAGTTGACGGCGAGGGTTTGCAGGACAGCGCCTCGCTGGGCTGGAACAGTGGCTAACGTAGAGTTTTGGGGTCATGCCCCTCCCCTACCTGTACCTAGAGCTTGCGGTGGCCTAGCAGACAACCATGCCACAGGACTTTTTGTGCGTAAGACGACCCGATTGATCAAAATAGAACTCGCATGCCAGTCAGCTATTTATCCCGGTAGATGTAAAAATGCCACTGGCGGAGAAAACCAGCTGCAAAGCTACCAAATGAGAGAAGTCTCGCTGGGCTGCTAGGGCCGCGTTCGATCCGTCGTCAGCGCGTTTATCAGCTCTGATCACAGCTCGGTATTCTCCTTTCGTCATGTCACGTGACCACAAATCACAAGGTCTGTGACGTCACGCGCCGGCTAACAGTGCTGCCGGGATGTTTTGTTAGCCCGTCATTGAGAGAAAGCGCTACAAGATAATTGAATCGCTCTGTCAAAGAAGCGTGAGTCTGTCGCGGTACCTCTTACGTTTGATTACGTTAGGTTCCGTGGGAACAGTTGTCGCTTATTTTGGGATACTGTGACGTAGGATAACGAAGGAATTGGATTGTCAAGAGTAGCCATGGAGAGGTTGGTGACAGTGATTAGTGTGGTGTTTGGTTGTGTTGAGGGTGTTGGACTGCCTAACGCAAGTGTAGCCGTCAGGAGGTGAGTGGTTGCATTGTTCAGTAAATTAATAGCGTTGGAGTAATTACAAAAAGGACAGGAACAGCGCACCTCGCGTCTCGAACACTGGCTTTGTCAGTGCAAGTAGGAGATAAAGGGACTCTTCGACATTTGCGTGGGGTTTTGAACTGAAATAACCATCTCGAAGATCATTCGGTGCACTTCACGGCCGTGCCATTATTATGACCTAAACCCCTTTAGTTTCTGAACTATACACCCACAAGGATATGCAGACTATTCCGGGGAGACTATTCCAAGGTCACCCGGGAATCCTACCGTTATTACCGTTGAGAACACTTAAAATGAAAAAGCAAGAAATTTAAATGGGATGAGAATGGGAAGGAGCACCCATCTCACGGGTGTGATAGATGTAAATATCGGGGCAGAGACCATACTTCCATATGCCACTTAATTGGAAGTGCGGCGGCGGTAAGCCAGAGCTAATGGGCTGAAGAAGTTAAAAGGTACATAAAAAGGAAGGTAAAGTTAAAAACTTTCCCTTCAGCCCACGCATCGAACGCTCCGTCAGCACGCATGACGTCACGCATTCCAGCTGAAAATCGTGCTGACGACAGATCGATCGGGCCTTTATCCGCGAGGTACCAAATGTAAACATCATGCGGCGCCACGGTTGCGCGACGACGTGACAGCTAAGGCCCTCTAATAAAAGCGCGACAGCGCGGGTGGCAGCGTTGTAAAACTCTTCAAGTCAAACCGGAGATCAGGAGTGCTGAGCGAGTTGAGCGAATTACGCACCGTCAAATTTCAAATACTTTCAAATGTGCGGCTCTGGTCAGATTACCATCACCGGATCCCTCGAACTATGCGCTTAACGTTTGACCTATAACACACTCTTGCCCATCATTGTCAATAATGATGAGGAACAGTGAAGAGAACAAAGACAAAATGGTACGCAATGACTCGTAAATGACCCATCAAGAACAAACCGCCACTAACTATAGGGATACAGTTTCACAAATCAGTCGGTGGATATGAGCTGAACAATGAGAAATGGCTCCAATAATACATTTGTTTACTGCAGTAGCTGCCTGGGAGCACAGTGAGAAAACTTTTCCAATCTGGCAGCTTTGCAGCACATGTTATAGCACAAGTGGCGTTTTTTGTCTACCGATATAAATACGCTGCTACGCAACCCAGGGAAAAGCATCAGCGACAAAATCACACGTCAGCCCGAAAAAGCATCAGCGACAAAATGGCTGTAACGACCGCGAGGTCGCTGTGACATTGAGGATTTGGCGGCCAGCACATCACCGGACAACGAGCACATATATGCATATATACATATATATATATATATATATATATATATATATATATATATATATTTTAGGTCCATAACAACGTATGTGTGTTTTGCCAGTCACCGATATACGGCTCACAAGTGGCAGTGGCTGCCGTCTAGAGACTGCTCGTCCACTGTGCAGTGCGTAATGCACGTATATGGTGCATTTGCAACACCCGTTTGCACCATTGCGTGCCAAATTTTTGCTTTGTAGACTAGTTCACACAGCTATTTCGAGGTCACCCCAGGCATGCATGGTGCCATACAAATGTCACGCAAATACTGCCACATTATTAGCCATGTGGCGGTCAAGACCAAGACAAAATGTGATTATAGACATCCGTGCCTGGCATAGGTCAATACCACTTCTGGCATCAGCATGCCTCAGTTGGCCCTCAATCACTTTAATGTGTTGAGGTTAAGCACATAATTCACGCTTTGCGATGCATAATACGAAACTCGTATATGAGTAATCGGACTCGTAATTCAGCGACACTGGGCACGAGTCCGAGAGCGGACACGTTGTTTGACCGACTGGAATGGAAAGGTCAGCTGACAGCTGGCCAACAAGGGTCAACCCTGGCCCGGGGCAGCCGTGTCGCATCATTGTGGGGCACGTAAAACCTTCCGTATTCCTGTCTGGTGCAAGGGCGGAGAAAAAGTTACCCGTTGAACTGGAGGGTACGACTTATATGGTGGGTTCAAGGTGCACGCAGCAGGCTGTGCTTAGCAGTTACTGTGAGCCCAAAGTCACCCATACAAACCGTTCGGAATAATTTATGAAAAGACATGAGTATCTGCGGCACGGAGCGAAAACACTGACTTCACCTGGATAAAAACCACGACCCTAGGGTTGGTGGTCCCGCGCTCTATCGACGGCGCTGACGCGATCTTCAGTGTTCAGAGGCAAATGGGCTAGCCTTAACGTAGTACTGTTAGCTATTTCGGTGATTTTGGATTTTGGTGATTTTGGTGATATCTTATGACCAGTCTCTGAGTGCTATAGTCGAGTGGTGATGTCATGTCTGAAGGGGTATGTGCCACCTTTGGGGATGCTGAAGGAAACGTCAGATATGGCGAATAATTTCACTGTTAGCGTGCCAACTAAATGTGCTAAATATACTAATGAATGAATGAATGAAAGACTGAATGATTTAGTTATACTAACCAAGCATGCTAGCTAACTGTGTAACTGTACTCACCACTAATTATTGATATTCTTTTAGGTGGAAAAGAATGCTCTAGACAACACCCTTTCT